ATAATATTTATATTATGTTGAAGCCTCAACTTCTCTTTTAATTTTAGCTCTGGTGGACACTGTAACCATGTGTTTGCTATGTTATATTTGCTGGTTCATTGGACATTACTTGGTGTACGTGAGATTGCTGCTGACAAGACATGCACTAGTCTTCCTCAAGAATGGCATAAACCTCGACGTGATGACATAGAGGCACAGCCAGTTATGAAATGTGTTTTTGCAAAGTCTAGTAAAGACCGGGATGACACAAGAAAGCGGAAACCAGTGACGTGTAATTTGTATGATGCTACAAAAAAAGCTAAGATCAGTACCACAGTAGTAACACAAGTTTGTGAGAAATTAGGAAATGAAAGCAAAGTCCCTCCTTTTTCATATCTGCTAAGAGATCAAGGCAGTAACCAAAATATCAACACTGTGATGGGCAATGTACCACTTGGAGCCTACTTGGGGTATCAGTTATATGATCAGAAGAATAAATCTTATTTCAACATGGTGAGGTCTGATGAGAAAATATTACCTCCAGATAGACAACATAATGCAATACGTCCCTTTCCAGATATACCTATAGTCCTAGATAACACAGATACATTCCCACTACAGAACAGCCCTTCTGCACTTCTTCTTTTTAACAAGATCAGTGTAACCACTTCACAAGCCCACACAATTAAAAAATCAACAGTACAGCAAGTACTAAGTGCTGATTGGAGAAAAGAAAGAAAATTTTTGATTAACAGCCTCTAACTTTGGAAGAGTTTTGTCCAGAAAGCGAGAGCCTACAGAGCCATTTATGAATAACATATTTGAATGCCCAGACATATCTAATGTCCAGTCAGTAAGACATGGCAAGCAAAACGAAACTTTAGCAAGAACAATTTATTGTCGCAAGATGCAAAAGAAAGTGCACCGTCTCTGTTGTGTTTATGAAAGTGGACTGGTAGTCAACCCAACATACCCCTACCTAGGAGCCACCCCAGATGGCAAGGTTTTTGATCCAACAGAGGAAAACTGTTTTGGGCTTTTGGAAATAAAATGCCCATATACCTGGCGAAATTCAAGTTTTCTTCAGGCATGTCAGGATAACAAGTTTTATTGTCAATGTGTTGATGGCCTTGTACGACTTAAGAGAGAACATAATACTGGCTATTATGCCCAAGTACAGGGTCAACTGGCTTTATCAGGTCTTAGCTGGTGTGACTTTGTTGTGTACTTGACTGGATCAAGGAGCATGAACGTTGAACGAATATACTTCAACTCTCTCTATTGGAGGGACACAGTTCTCCCTAAAATGAGAGATTTCTATGAAAAGCACTGCATTAAGTACTTAAGCAATCATTTGTCAGTTTAAATAATGTTTTCCCATTTCAGACCACATACAGTTCCCCCAGAGTATCATTTCTTTGCTTGATGGTTGCACATGAGAAGACATATGAATATGGATACACTTAACAAAGAATCTTGGGAATGACATGTGCTCCGAAATGGGACAACATTACGCCCAAGCTGATGGGATCTATTGTCAAGCAGTGAAATGTAATTCAAATCCCAGTCACATGATCAAGTCACATGATCAAGTCAAAGTGTATCAAAAGTAAATTA